AGTATCCATTACATTTCCATTCCTATCTTTGATTTCCATGGTACAGGGGAGGTGTAACACTCAATGGGCAGCTGGGGTCCTATCCTAAGGCTGTGCTTCTACAGCCTGCATCTCCCTCCTAACAAAGCACAGACCACCCCAGTCCTCTCATTTCCCCAGGACTCTAGGGCAGGCAGATGCTTTCACCATTATTGCTGTCGTTGAGCCCAGGGATTACTGAAGAGCAGTTACACTGGAGGAGGCAGTGTCAGCCTTACCCTTATATTTGTGAGGAGCCTGGTGAGCACATCCCCAGGAGACTCAAGGGCTGCTTTAGATGGATGGGCAGCGAGTAGAGAAACACACTGGGATGGCCTTAGGCAGCATGCTGCTGCAGAGCTGCGCTCAGGAAAATGTGTCTGTGGCTAAAGCAGCGCAGAGGGGCCAGGCTGACCCCCTCCCACAGGCACTGGGAGCGTATCTCCAGAAACATGGGCTGTGGATGGAGGCCAGCTGGCAATGGCACCAGCCAGACAGTACAGCCAGAGTCAGGAGGTGACCTGAGAAGGGAGGAGGAGGAGAGGGAATGAACTTGCAGAGTTTTCCACTAAGGCACTACAGTTTCTTCCTCTTGAGTAAGAAGGTGCCACTTTCAGACCATTGGGTAACGCTGCCTGAGCACTGTCCTTCCTTTAGGACTATGGATGCCAGCAGCCCAAAGGAAAAATGAGGCAGAGCCCCACAGCCCCTTGGTCACTGCAATCCCTGGTCAGAGCGCTGTCTCCTGAGGAAGAGGATGGAGGGATCCAGCTTGGCTCTGCTCCGGAGCAAACAGGAGCACTCCGCATGGTTGCCCAGACTTTCATCTGCATCCCCTGAAGCTCCAGAAATGCAGGTGAAGGAACGAGGAAGGAAGCAGATCTGGCATTACCCAGATCTCACCACACCAGGCTGGGGGAGAGCCTTCCACTCCCAACATGGCACCAGCCACGGGCAGGCCTGCTGCACGGAGCAGGCAAAGGGCTTCCCTGATCCTTGGAGCTACTCAGTCCACACAATGGGTACCCAAGGATGCTCAGCACCTGTCAGGATCAGGCTGTGGCTGTCACCAACCCCAAACACACCTGGCCTTGTTCTCCAAACATGCAAATCTTCCCCAGTTCTGACCGCTCTGAGAACAACCCTTTCCCACCATCTCCCCTTGCATCAAAAAAACATTCTGGTCAATCAAGGAAACAGATAACAAAAAGCAAAATCTCAACTAATCTTTGTGGCTGAAGAAAGAGCTGATTGGTTTTGCCTCTCTCTCTGTCCCTGCCCTGTATCCTGCACTTCCCCAGTCCTCTTCACACCTTCTTCTCTTTATTGCTCAGGAAAGAAAATCCTGGTCTTTGGGCTGTTTTGTTTAGCAAATGAGGGACATGCAAAGCAATAACCCCAGGCATCTGTCAGAAGGAGAAAGGTGCCTCTGTGTCTTCAAGACAGCCTTCAGGCGCTGGGAGCAGCAGCCCAGAAATACTATGATCAAGGGTGCATTTAAGCTTGGACAGGGGATAGATCTTTTTCTTCCTAATGAAGACAGAGCCACAGGACACCTGCAGGAAGCAGAGGTGTGTTCCCAGCTAGCATGGCATTACGCTGGAGCTTATCTTCAGGTTGTATTAACCTCCATGGAGTGGAATCCTGGAGGAGGCAAAACCCTGAAGTTTTCATGTTGTGTTAACAATGGTTAGGGAAGGCCGAAAAGGAACCGAGAGGAAGGACAGAGAAAAATTAGGCTTCAGTTGGATACAGGTTGTATTGGACAAAAAAAAAATATTTGCTGAGTCTGGTTGCTTCCTGCCCTAGACTTCACAAGAAAGTGTTTTCAGTGAAAAAAAAAGATAAGAGCAGTCCCTTGTCCTCGCAGCAGAGCGTTTCCCCAGGGCTGTGTAGCTGTAGGTGATGGTGACACACCAGCAGGTTTGTTCTAGCCCATCAGCAGGGCACACAAGGGGAAACCTGAAAGCATTTGACAGTCTCCCAGAAATAGCTGCATACACACATTTCCTTGCATAGGGCAAACAGTCCTGCCTGCTGTTAAGGGTCTAACCTGGGAACAGATAGGGAACTTGACCTGCAAAGCTGCTACAGAATTAAAAAAAGGACACCACAAAATTTTTATCACTTATTCTGCTTGCAAGCCAGAGATGTTTTTCCACTTTTCCCCTGGAATAGCATGTCCACACAGAAGAGACAACCAGAACAGCCACACCAAAATTATTCAAGGATAATTAAATCACTCAGTTGCCTCTGTGCAGGATAAGACCTAAGAAAACGCAGATCCCTGCAGAGTTCTTGACCCATCATCTTACAACTAACAGTCACCATGGACACACACTGATCTTAAGGCTGCAACCCTGAACTGAGACTTGAGATCTGCTACACATTTCCTGCATGACTCTGGGCAAGACACGAGCGCTGGATTTCTGAAGTTGTTCAGCACACTATGAAGCTCACAGAAAGCTTCACCCCATCTGTGAGAGGAGGATAATAATTCCCCCATCCCCTTCATTTCACTTGTTTATTTCAACGGTAAGATAGGAATGGGACTGCCCCTCCTTATCTCCTACATACAGCACAATGGAGCCTTGATCTCGGCTGGAACGCCTAAGTGCTACTGCAACACTAATAATGAGTGATAGAAACTTAATTCAGCAAAGCAACCTAATTCTATGACTGGCTTAGAAAGAAATCCTCCAAGCATGCCCAGCAAGACCCCTACATTAAACCCACTAAACTGCCAA